ATTGTGTTTCATGAAAAATAATTAATGTTGGTCCCATAGTTGACATAGGTCCATCAACTTTACAATTTTTCATAACATTTTCTAATTCTTTTCGAAAATATTTTAAAAATGCATTTGAAGCATCAGATAAAAATTGAAACATATCATTTGGTAATTTTGGTGCTCGTGTTCGAAATATAATAATATCACTTATACATAATATTTTAAGTAAAAGTCTATTACGAATATTATCATTTTGTGATAAACCAAGTCGACCTTCAGTATCAAGTATAAGTGTTCGTTGATTTTCATCTAATCCTGACCATACACCCATTGTACATGATTCAGTTGTTGATGATGTATGAAATTTTTCTTTTCCATTAAAAAATACTTGATTTAATGTATATGATTTTCCATCACCTGTATTACCAATAATAGAAATACATTTAACATTTGGATCTTGTGATGAACATTGTAGTTGACGAATAAAATCAAATTCATTATTAACCTTAATTTAATTGAATTTAGATAAAGTATTTAACAAAAAATAAACTTACAGTTAAATGTTCATGAGCATCTAATAATAGAAAAACTCCATTTGAATCTGTATTTGTTGTAGATTTATGTGAAACACGATTATTATTATTATTATTATTATTATTAGTTCGAATACCATGATGATTATTTCTTTGATCATCAATATCATTATCTAACATTGATTCAAGTAACATTTGTTGATCAAGATTATGTTGTTTTGGTATAGGATTAGAATTGGAAATTTTTGGTTTTATTCCATGTTCTTTTCGTATAGGTGGAGAATAATAATTATTTTCATCACTATCATCAACTTTAACATCTTCAAATGAAGATGGTGATGGTATTGGATTCTTTGTTCGTTCTTTTGAATTATGAGAAGAATTTATTTGTATTGGTTTTGTTACATTTCGATGTTGATCACTATATGAAGAAGAAGAACAATTTATTTAACGATATGTTTATTTCTTTCGAAGAAATTTTCGTGGGATTTCTTTTAGTTTTCAGAAGATTATTTTTTTATTTGCATTGTCATTGAATAAACATTTTGATGCAATTTAAGGAAACAGATGGTAGTAACTTGCGTCATCTGTTGTGAAGTATTTAAAAATTGCACTTAAATATATTATGAATATTTCTTTTTTCTAGATTTGAAGAAAAAAGAAAACTTATTCACCGTTGTTTACAGAACATGATTTTCAATCAGGAAATTTGAAACTTCTTCCATCTAGTTTACGATATAAACACTACTTTTTTTTTGTTTTAAAGGTGTAAATAAGAGTAAATTTTTGTCGCACCAGATTCTCTATAGTTGATTTCTCGTATTGAAAAAAGCGAAATTTAGTGTCGTGAAATTACATTTTGTTTTTGCTTATTTTCACTCCGTCTGTACTAAAATGATCATAAAAAATAAATGAAAACGAATTTCAAACTTCTATTCAAACAATAATTCAACACCGATATTCACTTTAATTTGAAATCATTCCGAGTTTTTGTATCTTTTATTGGAACACAGTTATAAAGATTCTCAAAGAAACCATAAATAAGTCGGAAGTTCGTTTTAGTTTGACGTAGTAGACTGAAATTTTTATCTGAAGCATTTCTGACTAGAATCAATCATTTTCGAATTTCGATTTTACATTTTGTATGGAGACAAGCTTTAACGAGAATAGTTTCAGGTGTCTTGATTTATTTTCTTCTATCTTGAAATAAGAATATAAAATCTACTTTTAGAAAATAACATTCATTTAAAAAAAAAATATCATCAAAGTTCAGTATCTCCTTGACCATAAGCTAAGAGTAGGTATTCATAGCTTATTTGAATCTACATAATGCACATAGTCTTAATTTCAACAGTTGGAGAACTTCCTTCATAAGAGTTCTTTTCGATAGAATATTAGAAAAAAAAAAACTTACGTATTAGTTTTTATTGTTGAAATGTGTCCGTCTTTAGATTTTTGTGGCCTATGATTTTTTCCATCTGAATATTGATGTTTATTTTCATAACATGAATAACAAAAGAATAATGTACAATTAGGACAATAAAAAATAGCTGGATGATTTCGATCAATAGAACAATATTCATCATTAATTGCATCTAAATTTAATCGTTCATGTTTTTCATGATCAGAATTTTCATGAATTTGTTTTTCACATAAAATACATTGTAATGAATTACATTGTATACAATAATATATTGCTTTTGATGACATTTCTGTGTCACATGCTAAACGCTCAGTACATGTTAAATATGATGTTGTTTCAAGAGAACCTTTTGATGATGAAATATTATTCATTTGTGACGAAGAAGAATTGTCATTACTTTTATATTGGTAATTCCATAAACATATTTTTTCAGCTGCTTGCATATCGAACGTTGGGAAGTTTCATTAAATAATATGATACACGAATTGCTAATGTTAACCGTAAGTAACGTGACTCATCTTTTTATCCAATAGAAATTTTATGTAATAGTGATAATAATCATACATTGATTCATAGATAAATATATCAATAGGTAAACAATATTTTTGGAGTATCTTTAATTGACTTGTATGATTTGATTTTTCTCACTAGATGTCATTAAGTGCAAAAATGATGTCGCTAATTTTCATACCTTTCGTTCAAATAGTCATAAATTTTTATAACATCAAATGCATACAATTCCACTAGCTTAAAAATGTACGAGATATTTTTTTTTTATTGCTGTTACTTAGTACGAGGCCAGGAGAATTAATTTTACCTTTGTGTTGTTGGGGAAATCGATTTCTTCACGACTACTCACAGGTAAATACAACATTACACGTGACTCAATATTACGATTGTATGTCTCCATTTTATTAACGAAGAAATGTGATGATTTACGGCGAAAGAAAAAGAACACTTGTTGACCCTCTTCGCACATTGAGGAGGTTAACTATGTCCTTTTTGCTTGGCATACAGTCAGCCGGATATACGATTATAATATTGAGCCATGTAATACAATTATTTATGGGCTCTATGAGATCAATGCAAAAAAAAAACTACTGCATCGAACTGTTTAAATTTTATCAAAACAAATTTCAACGGAAAATATCTTTATATATTTGACGTTAAGATTTTTTTAAGATCAAGTGTTAGTGCTTCTGTTCTCATAACATTATAAATTTTCATATATGCTTAAAAAAAATTGGATTTCTGAATTATTCATATATATCAGACAAAAAAAAACCAAGTCTGTATTAATGTTATTGATTATTTGTATTCACTGTTCGATCTTATCCATTGCTTCATCACATGACTTACACACACGTTCAGGTGTAAACCATTCTCGTTCGGGTACAGGACGTTTATTTGGTGAACAGGTATCACAAATACCTTCACCACATTTTCGACTAGAAAATTAGAAAATTATTTCTTGAAAATTAAAATTAATTCAATTACATACCAATGATGTAGACGATGTGTGGTATTATTAAATCGATGCTTACAGATAAAACAAGAATGACATTCACTATCTGGTCGCCAATAATTTGGTCGTGTACTTTCTTTGATATGTTCTATATGCATACATATATATATATATATAACATTGTTTAAATTTTTGTTTTCAAAACATTAAATTTTTCATATTCATACTCACTAATCGGATAGTCATACATCACACGTCCAACATTATTTGTAACAAGTTCTACGAAACGTCTTGACATAGGAATATGATATAAATTTGGATCTATAAGATGAAAATAACAAATAGAGTTAGATATACATATATTGATAAAATGCCTATTAATTGAGATATTACCTGCTGAACTATCACTACCACCAGTTTCATATTCAGACGAATTTGTTTTTTGAGTATGTACATAATTATTTTGAAATACTGATGAAAGTGTTGATGGTTGAAGTTTATCATAACATTTATCACAAACACGTTCAGGTGTTTTGATATCAAGCAATGGAACAGTAGCACGATGTGTTGTACACGTATCACAGAAAATATAGCCACATGCTATGAAAAAATCAGTGCTAGAGACCTTTGTTCAGAGGAGTTATCAATAAAAAAACTAGCCGTAGCGATGCGACACAAAAAATCCGACATCGATTTTCTTTTTTTGTTGTTGGGAGTTCAAAGAACATGAAATGGTTTGAAGATTCAGCTTTACTTTTTCTATTCTTCATCTTCATGAAATAATTTTAAAAAGTCAGCTAAAAAACTTTATACTGCACATCGATTGATGACAACTTACAGTCATATTTCATTCCATTACTCTTAAGAAAATCTGTTGGTGACTACGAACAAAATCCGATTCTGCGCAAAAAAACAGATGATTTTTCATAACTAAGTTTTTTCTCAAATACTTTATAATAAACAAATCAACAATTTTAAGTAATTGTCTATTGAAAAATTTCACATTCTTTTTTTCACTAAATCGTCTCTCAACTCAAGAGATTGTACTGATATGTCATAGAACAAAAAGTAATAAATTTTCTTGCAAACAAACCTCGGCAATGATGTTTCGAATGCTCTGATCCAAAAACAAGTTTACACGACGAACATTCCTTTAAAACAAATAAAATAAATTAATCTTCTTATATATCATAAAAAAATCTTCTTACATGAACATCTTTATTTGGAACCCAATACGATGGTGCTACTTGATCTGTTACCATCTCTGTCAACATTTTTGTTGGAGCTGATAGATAACTATAATAATATAATGAATCAAACCATTGTTTACTTTTTACTTATTGAACAAACCTTCCAGCATTACGAAAAACTTCAATGACTTTTCTTGGTGTAACATCATTAGCGGCTCGACTATTGTCTTCACCTGCCCAAATATGAACAACTTCAACACGTATGACGTCTTTTGGTTCATTATTTCCATACCAATATTTTCTTGATCGATAGAT